TCCCTCCCTCCCTCACACACACAAACACGCAGTGTACCCGCCTTGGTAGACACGTGCAGTTTTCTTCTGTTGCGCCGCCCCTCACAGGGCCCCAGCTAATGCAATAAAAGAAGTGTGTTGTGTTTTTAACCGCACACCGCACAAGGGACTGACGTCTTTTCATTGGTCAGCCAGTTAACGCGGTTGATGCTAATAATAAAAATACACACACACGCACGCAAGAGTCTCATTATGCTCCCATGTGCCAGCCGAACTCTCTTGTGTTCCACCTTCCACCCACCAGAGCGAGCGCTAGCGAACCATGTGATTGACTCACTCACTCACCCATCTCATGGTACTTTTTGTATCTGGCCAAAGGAGGTGTCTGCCTCACTTGGAGAGGGGCCTGCGAAACATACGATACACACGACAGCAGAGCAGCCACACGGAGGATACAGAGGCGTCTGAGCAGGACAGGCTGGCAGCATTACCAAGTAGTACACTCTCATGTGCAATTTAGTCCTACGCACAGCAGTATGGAAGCCAAAGGTGAAAACAAATGCAAACAACCCACAGGGCGGTGGCGACATCAAGGTACTCGCAAAGATGGCCCTCGTTGGAACCTGTGACCGGGGAACAAGAAGCCCATACATGGTGGGCTTGCACGGCTTGCCAGAAACAAAACCTAGCACATGCAACGCAACCAGGAACAAAAACCGCCAGTGTAGCCCTTCCAAGAGCGACCTACACGGAAACCTAAGCGCTACAAAAGTGTGCACATGCACGCAAAGTAAACGAAAAACAAACGCGCGCCACGCAACAGATAGTACTTGCTGGTGAATAACGCCTCCGTTCATTAGTTGTACTCACGGCAAGACGGCGCCGCAAGAAGCCGAACCACGAACAGCCCCGCATCCTTCTTCAGATCAATAAAAAGAATCGACCGATCGATGATGTGAGATACTCGGTTCCCGGTGCCCCTTTGACGCTGTCAAGTTACCCTCTCGGATTGGATGTGGTCTGCCCGTCGTAGGGACGAAGTGAAGCCGTCCAACAGCCTTTATTCTTGCTGGGATCTCCTTGTGGTAGAGGTGTGTGTGGTGCAACGATTTCCCTGTGGGAAGCGATAAAGTTAGGGTGCCGGTATGATTATCGGGGGGAAAAGGTTGGTTGTCGGACATAGTATCAGCCGAGGGCAGTAGGCAGGCTTGCCCGCCAGGAGGTTGACCGTACACATGATGCAGAAACATCAACGTCGAAGTGTACACAAGCTTCCGTGGATGAACGTTTCGCGGACATAATTAGGATGAATTCATGAGTTGTCACCGCAGTGGTATCATACCATGACCTATGGCTTGAATTCTTTCCACTACTCTTCCTCGAGCAGTATACTGCACAGCAGTAGTGGTGTATCTCCTGCGGGTAACAGCCTCATTAAGACAGTGGTGTAACCAGACATGCCGTAGGTCGCCTACAGTCAAGCGCCCGCGTGTAAGAAAGGTCGATTTGGGGTCGAAATTCAATTTCATATTTCATCCTCACCGTCGAGCATGGGCTATAATTTTGAGTTTCGTGTAGCATCCACGGCTGAGGTCTGTTTCTTGCAGCAGTACTCTACTTTTCTTATTTATCGCCATAAGCTGAGCCTTCCAAGGTTTGTTTCTGGATTGCGGCCTCTACCTGCAACGCATTACACCCTTTGGCCCGATTTTCAAATCCCGACTACCCTGCAGCACAAACAATGATGGTGCCGAAATTGGCGCCGCAGAAACGGTCTTGTCGAGAGCTTTCTGCCGAAAGACGTTGGTCCCCTGGGCCACGGGAGAGTAATCGGTCTTCGAAATTCGTGTGGTATCTCACGTGTGCAACCTACGGAAGGTAAACTATTGTTTTCTCGAGAAAAAGAACACAAGAACGGCTGGATCCTTCGCGTTGAAAGATCGTAAGAAGTGGCCATCTTTGCAGTCGTAGGGCAACGACTGTGGTGGAGGAAAACCAAAGATCCCGTTTGCCCTTCCCCCCGCCCCCCCCATCCCCCCCGGTGCTTGCCATCGGGGTTGGGTTTTCGTCGCTTGGCAACGACGTTGTAAAACAAGCC